ATACAAAATGGACATATGTTTTTGAGATACTTCCCATGACTGAAAAAAAAAAAAAACCTTACACTGAAAATATCACATCTGTTTCAGGGATTGGTCTCTGGGGCTGCCTCCCCAACTCTGAAGAGGACCTCACTTAACATTTCTAGACATTCCTGGACTCCAAAAACAGAAAACAGTCGCAGGTTTCCTCTCACTACCACTCCTTTCCAAATGTAACATCTGGATGTGGCTCCCTATGTTCCCAACCCTCTTATACTAAGGCAGGAATTTTCCACATCTTGAGATGCTCTGGGCCCACAACTGGTGAGTCTTACTCAGTGATGGGGGACGGTGGTGGTGGTACTGCAAAGAAGAGGGCATTGCCTTTTTTTATCCCTTTCCTGAGACAAGCAGATGGGCTTAAGATGAAATGTATCATCTCACATTTGATGAAATACAAAACAGTCTTAAAACAAGGTAAAATTCCATTACAACTTCCCTCTTCTTTGTTTGGACTGAAAGCAAAACCTTTCTTTTGTAATATACATAGTGAGGTCTACCTAGCAAAGAGCCTTCCAAAGGGTCCTCAAGCAGGGTTTTGCTTATGTTCATGCAGATGCCTCTCTCAGCCCTCCTCAGACCCTCCCCTGCTCTACTTTTCTTGACAACATTGAGTGCCCATCCATGACCTACCACACATGCTATGTATTTTTCCTGTTTATTGCCAATCATTCTCCACTAGAATAGAAGCATCACATGCACAGAGATTTTTGTCTGTTTTGCTCACCGTTGTATCCAACGGCACCTGGTAGACAGTGGTCCCTTGGGGTAGGATTATACTGAAACTAGACAGGCTTAGGAGCAGGTGGTTTATTTGGGAGATGAGGGAAAAAATGAGAACACTATGACAAGAAAGGAGGAAGCACCCATTAAAGAGATATTATCAAGGTTACTGCTGCAGGCAAAGGACCTTTGAAAAGTTTCCAGAGGCTTCCAGAATGGTCCCTTACAAAGGATGAGTAACTGGGGTTTCCAATCCCCGCTGGTTGAAGGTTGTCCCCTGGGGAGATAATACTGTTACTTCTAGACTGAACTTCTGCAGGAGCCGAGCTTTGAGGGAGAGAAATAGAGAGAGGGGTGCTTTGGAAGCATGAGGTGGGCCCACTGGCTGAGTGCTGAAAACTGCCCAGCCCAGCTGCGGCTGGAGCCAGAGGGCAGACCTGGAGCTATGGTCAGGAACACCAACACATCTGCCTCAGGAGGCATTAGTAAAGACTTTTACTCTCTGTAGTGCAGATCATGTATATGCATTACAGGAAAAATGCAAGCTCCAGGCCCAACTTGCTTAGGAACAACCATCAGAATTATTAGTACCCTCTGACCCCTTAGGAAGTAACAATCAATATGGCCAAGGAGTTCAGACCCCTTATGACTTTTTTTCCCCTAGCGGATCCTCTATAACACATTTCTGCTCAGAATTCCCACTCTTGAGGGGAAAGTGGATACAACTTCATTGTAAATGAAAAAAAAAATCCACTGCACAAGCCCTTCTTGCAGCTCTGACAGAAGTCACCCGTGGCTTCTGCTTGTAGTGCTTCCACACTGGCTTCTTGGCCACTTCTCCAGTTTTTCATGTGGTCGCTCCTCAGGGGTCTGTCTAGGAGCACACGCCTCCCCCACCCCCATGCTACTTGCCTTTCTCATCTCTTCCAGGCAACAGCCACCATCCACATGTCAGACTCTGGGTCCTCCTCTCCAGTGCCCTCTACCCTGAGCTCAGGACACAGGTTCCCAGTCTCCTCCTGGACCATTTCTGCACAATCCATGAACTCAATCTCATCTTGGACTCACTGCCCAACCTACCTCCACACCCAAACCTGCATTTCCTGCAGAATTCCTGGGTCACTCTCCACCACCCACCTTGGAAACTCAAGGTTGGCCTGAGTCACCAAGTCCTGTTGCTTCTGTTGGTTTCTTGAACAGCAAGAGGCTGTTCCCTGGTGGCTGGAATCATTCTTTTCTCTACTTTTATTTATGTTCTGAATGTTCTCTGATGAACACTTATGACTTGCATAATGTTTATTATGTTTCCTAATAACTAAAATGTTTCATAATGATTTATTGTTCTAAATAGAAACAAATCTACCCTGATTCCTCATGTTCTCCCACCACCTCCAGGCCCTCCCAACCTGCCCTGCCCTTCCCCATCCTCACCTGGCTCAGGTTTCTAGAACCCTAACCTCATTCCCTTGCTCCTTTCATGGAAACATTTCTCTGAGATGATCTCCGACCACCTTCCCAAATGCATCAGAATCATCTGAAATGTTTATTTACCTGTATGTCTCTTCAGCTCCCCCATTACACCCCCAGCTCTTGCTCATGCTGCATCCCCAGGCCTGGTACAAAGTAAGTGTTCAATAAACAGTAATCAAATGGCCCGAGGGTAGGGAGTTTAGTAACTGGCATAAGGTGGAGATGTTCTAGAGAAGTTCGCAAAGTGTGTTCAGTGGTCCAATGACTTCATGGCTAGGGAACTTACTAAAATTGCAGATCCTTCCCGGGCTCAGTGGCTTACACCTGTATTTCCAGCACTTTGGGAGGTGGAGGCAAGAGGATTGCCTGAGCCCACGGGTTTCGAGACTAGTCCAGGCAACTTGGCGAGACCTCATCTCTACAATAAATGGAAAATCTAGCTGAGTGTGGTGGCACACACCTGTAGTTCCAGCTACTTGGAAGACCGAGACAGAAAGATCGTCTGAGCCCAGCAGATCTAGGCTGCAGTGGCCGTGAGCATGCCACTGCACTCCAGCTTGGGCAACAGAGTGAGACTCCGATTCAAAAAAGAAAAAAGAAAAAGAAAGAAAGAAATGCGGATCTTTGAGCCCCACCTCAGACCTCCTGAATCAGAAGCTTTGAGTGTTTGAACAAGCCCTGTAGGCGATTCCGCTCTGTAACAAGTATGTCTCCAGACATATTTTAACCACGGTTGCAAATAAAACTAGTTCCCCTACTGAACAACATAAACATCAGCAGCCTCGTGGGGAAACCACTGGGAAACACTGAATCCGCTGCTGTGTTTCAACGATGTTGCCTGTAGGTTGCAGAATCGCAGCTGCCTCTCGGGCTTAGAAAAGGCGACAGCAACCAGAGCCGCCTTCCGGCCTAACTCCCTCGCCCGACCCCCACGCACGCGTCCCCACCATCCCGGAGCTGGGGACTGATTCCGATTTTAGAAGTGCTTCCAATCTTTCTCCTTGGATCTGAGGCGGATGAGGGAGAGCAGGGCAGAGCAGCTGAGGTCCCGGGGCTCGGCACGGCTGTCCAGCTCCAGGTCCCGGCCTGGGCGGCCTCCGGGCGCCGAGGCGGTGCGGGCGGGGCGCGTTGGGGGAACCTCGGCGAGGCGCTGCTCTTCCTCCCGCCTCAGTTTGCCGTCTGTGAAGCAGGGTTGGCAGTCCTTTGCAGGGACGCGAACTCCAGCATCAGCCAGCACGGCCACCGGGCGCTGAGTGGTTCGGGTCGCCCAGCTCCAGAGTCAGGAGAGCAACCGCGCGGGGAAGGGCGCACAGCCCTCCGTCCTCGCCCGGGGGTGAGCAACAGGAGGTGCTCTCGAGGCCGGGCAGCCTGAGTTCTGGCGGGGTCTGGCCCCGGGGTGCGAGTGACTGGGTTCGGTGGATGGGAGGGGCGGATGCCGTTGCCAACCCGAGCTTGGGGGCGCGCTGGGGTGGGGGGCAAACTCCCCGGGACCCTGGCTGCGCCCCTTGTGGCAGCGGGCGCCGCGGGTCGGGGTCACTTGACCCAGAGAGGAAGCACACAGCTCCTTCCCAAACCAGATTCCTCCGAGCAGAGCCAGACAGTGTCATCCTCATTTTGCAGCTGTGTAAAGAGAGGCCCCCAGGACGCCAACAGCCTAAAGCCGTGGCCGGAGCCCTTTCACTGACCCGGGAACACTGGCCCTCGGATTCCCGGAGAACTTTGAGGCCATTTAATGAAGCTGAAAAGAAAGTAGCTGGGCTCGGTGGCTTAACCTGTAATCCCAGCACTTTTGGAGGCCTAGGTGAGGGGATTGCCTGAGCCCGCGGGTTCGAGACCCGCCTGGGCAATTTGGCGAGACCTCATCTCTACAATAAATCAAAAATTAGCCGGGTATGGGAGCGCGCCTGTAGTTCCAGCTACTTGGAAGGCTGAGGCGGAAGGATCGCCGGAGCCCAGCAGGTCGAGGCTGCGGTGGCCGGGAGCGGCCACAGCACTCCAGTCTGGGCGACAGAGTGAGCCTTCAACTTAAAAAAGAAAAGAAAGTGAAGACCCCGCCTCCTCCTCCCTCCCGCCAAAGAGGCCACATAGGAGAAAAGACCAGATGCTGCGAGAAGGACCGACGCTCCCTCCCTCAGAATTACGCCTTGCTGGCTTAGGCCTGCCGGGTGTCCCCGAGTTTCCTCTGCGGCCCACCCGGTCCCCAAAGCGGACTAGACGCCAGCAGCTTCTCCATCCCGGAGGAGACTCCAGGCTCCTAGGCTTTCCTCCCGGGAGGGCACCGCTCTGGAGTGAGCCGGGGGCCGGCAGCTGGGAAGGGGTGGGGTG